ATGCGTTGCGTTAAAAATAATAATTGTGCATTACATCAAATGTTCCGAATCAGCAATTGCTCCAGCCAATATAGTTTTACGGTGTGTAAGTTGGATATTAGTCTAAGAAATCCGTGCATAAAATTGGGTGAATTGTGCACCTCTTGTGAAAAGCATGAAACTTGGCATGGTGGCAGGAAATCGTATTTCATTTCATTTCAGCCTGGGATCCACTTTTTAAAAATCCAACATGGCCGCCAAAATCCAAGATGGCCGCCATATAATAAATTTTCAGGATAATTGGGTATTTCAGCTGTAGTCATAACTAGAACTGTATAAAATAGCACCAATTCATTAAACTACACATCAATTTATATTCAAGATTTGGAATCAGGTTTTGCAAATCAAAGATGGCAGCCAAAATCCAAGATGGCCGCCATATATTATTTTTTTCAGAATATTAAAGTTTTAAAGCTGTAGTCATTACAGGTCAGTATGAAATAGCATCAATTTAATATATTACACATTTATATATTTTCAAGCCTGGACTACAGGTTGTGCAAATCCAAGATGGACGCCAAAGTCCAAGATGGCCGCAATATTAAAATTTTCAGAATGTTATAGTTTTCAGCTGTTGTCGTCATTACAGAACAGTATTAATAAACACCAATTTATAATTATTGTATTACATAACTACATATTTATTTATGTTCAAGCCTCGGTTCTATGTTTTGCAAATCCAACATGGCTGCCAAAATCCAAGTTGGCCACCATATAAAAATTTATTTGATTATTTAAGTTTACCAGCTGTAATCATTTTCAAATTAGTATAAAAAGCACAAAAACATTATATTACACGCTTTTATAACATATCAGTATGTAGATAATCTATTAAAGATATCAACATGGGTGCCAAAGTTAAATAGGGCTGCATAACCTAATATAATTGTGGAACTGTTTTAAAAACATCCATTTCATATTGAAACATACTCATAATTAAACTGTCTTAGATTTATTTTCTTAAAGCATTTTTATTTGGTTAAAGAACACAATAAAAGAAACAAAAGTACTTTCAACAAAAAAGGGGGTTAAACCATCTCATAATTCCATTACCTGCCATTGAATAAGAATCTCTTTGCCAGTTATAGATAATTACAAGGGCAAGAAACTTGCAATCAAACTTAGGGCTGAGCCTTATTCCAATGAATTATTATGTAGCTGACCTCCTACTGGGTGATAGTGCAAAAGTTAAAGGAATGGTATAGAACCTTTCGTATATTCTTACCAACAGCTATGCAATTCACACCCCTCCCCCTTTGATAAAACTCATCATAATAATTTCATAGGATTCTAGGCTACGAAATTTGTATTTTGATAACAATAAAAAGTAAAACGTAACCCAAAACTACTTGAACTATCTATAATTAAGTTCTGAGTCAAAAGAGACCAGTTCTTAAAAAAGTCAGTATAAACAAGTAAAATTAAGTAAATTATTCATAATTAACACCTATTTATCTAGTACTCAATGATGGTCCAGTTAAGGTCAATTTAGTTTCATTGTTATTGTGATTCTAGAAGCTGCAAAGAAAAACAAAAAAAGAAAGCTGAACAAATGACAAGCTACAATGATGTTCAGCAAACGGTAAAAAACTCATGAATTAAGCTAAATGCGGCATGATTTCACTTGTTCTTGTGTAAGTACTTTTATGACAGTTGTGGATAAAAGTAAACAAACAAAAAAACTGATATTAAAACGCAACCATCTATAATATAAGGAAAGACATATTCTTATAAAAGGCTTTATCTGGCATTTCAACTGATAAAAATATAAAAAGAAGAAATAAACAAGAAATTTAAGAGCGTTGCCCCTAGAATGCAATCCTTAAATTTGCAGTAGTCAGAAAGTTAGTAGTTCAATCTTACAAATGGAATCTCATATCACAATTATCAAATATAAAGAACTGTAAAGTCTAAACTTGATCTCATATTAAATCATGAATGACTTATGTTAATAATGCCAAACACTTAGTTTGATTACCGAAAAACCCAAGATAATTTTTCGTTCAATATTATTCTGATTTTCTGATTTATTCCCAAGACCTTGCCAAAATAATACCATAATAAGAACCTGATTCCGTTATCTATGACACAAAATATGCTGCTCAAATTACTTATGAAAAAAGAACTTGCAGCTGCAGTAAGACGGTCACATGGATGCTGAAAACTACATTTTAAAAAAAAGTATTGACAGGAGAAGAAACTTATACGTCTTCCGACACTAGTATAATTCATACTAAACAATTGGTTCAGATAAGCTTAGGAATTGTCTGCACTTAAATATACAATACAGTAGAGGATTATTTCACCCTTTTTATGCATTAACATCTACAGATACTAGGGTCCATTTAAAGCCCTTATCCTATGGGCTTAGGATTTAACTTCTGCAGATGTGGATGCACAAACACATGTATTAGAGTCATTCTTGTGTTTTGATAGTAAGGTAACTGGAGGCCATCGTTAAAATTAGCGGTTAGCATGGTGTCGAAACCATGCACATAAATAAGAGCTATCAGTAGGACAACATAGAGTGTTCGACTGTTCTCAATGCTTGATAGCTAAACAAGAACCTAGATAATGAAGAATTCTCCATATTTAAAAGGGCCATAATTCTGTCAAAATCCATTATAGAGATATTGGTCTATAAATGGTTATATGGTTTTAGTGACCTTCTATTATCCTCATAAATATGTGTATTAGGTGTAATTTTTACAAAACCATTTTGCATGCAAAACCTTAGCCAAACTGGAAAACTGACGACTTTTGTGTACAATATTGCTCCCTATTCTTCGACAAAGCTAAATAATATGAATAAAGATTTTTCTCTGTGAATGTACACCTGTGTGTGCAGTTTTTGTGCAGGATGGCCTGTTTATTTGTGTGTTATATGTTTGAAAAATGTTGGTCATATAAATCATCCATATCATAGAAAATTGTCCAAAAATCATTATTTAATGGCGGCCATCTTGGATTTGGAAGCCATATTGAATTTTCTACTGATGCTACTAAAGCATTTTCCCACAAAATTACTATTTTTTGACCTACAATGTCTATTTATATCATTTTCATGCCGTAAATAACTTCATTTTGTCATGTCTACCATCAAACATGCTTGCATATTATTACATATATAAAACAGTTTTCCATTGATATTTATGTCATTACAGCCGTAACTATTTTGTTACAACAGCGTATGAAATTACAACTTCATTCATAAGGGTAAAATTAATTCAATCTGAGCAAGCCATTGTATAGCACGCGACTCCTCTGGCATCCCCCCCCATGCCAGATGAAATTTCCGGATTTCATTCTAGTCTGACATGCAAGAAAAAGCTTTTTGGTTCACGTTATAACGCTTCTTGGTGTGCGTGATAACGTCTCTTGGTTTGCTTTATGACGTCTTTATTCGCGTTATAAAGCATGTTTGTGTTGTGATACGCCGTTTGTTTATACTGTGTTATGCCATTCGGTTCAGCATAATTAGCGTTATTTCTGTCGTTACACCTGTTCTTTTGTGTTATTACATCATTTTATTTTATCTAATTTGAAACTGTTATTCTTCCGTTATTAACCAATGATAGAATCTTTAAATTTCAGATTTGATCGATGAGATGTTTATTCCTTTGTCTGATTGACCTGATTACTGAAAAGTGTGATACATTTCATAAAAAAAGAATATGAATAAATAGAAAACAAGTAATTCGGAAGTATTATGTTTATAAAATGCTGTTCGTTTGTTGTTTTTTTGTTGTTGTTGTTTTTGGTGCTTTTTTTGTCTATTTTGAAATGTTTATTTATCATATGATGATAGGTTCCTGTAGACTTCCTGAAATTGAAAATATGGCAAAGTTAAACACTCCAAAAACCTATTATGATATTGGCGAAACAGTTAGCGATTTCACGTGTAGTCCTGGACATTTTTTATCATCCGATAAGGGAATGACATGCCAGAATAATGGAACATGGTCCGATGTTATAACGTGTGTAAAAGGTATTTGTTAAAATATGCACATACGTCTTTTATATTGTAAAAATTATATAAAAAATGAAAAATCGTTAAAAAATAAAATTAAACATTAAAATTGTTATGACTTTTGAGATTACAAAGGCAATTATTATTTTCATTGTTAACTAAAATATGTGATAATAGAGCTCTAAAAATATGTTTTGACTATATTCATATGCAAATATTGATCATATCAATAGTGATGTTGAAGAAATTATTTAATTACTTCCCAACATCCGGTTCAATTTTCAAACAACAAGAAATGTGTTGTATATGGAACGGCAACCACAAAAGTCGTTTACATTCTAATGTCTTGCTTACAACGAATACATACATAGCTTGAAAAATATTAGACTGACCGTCAGACGAATCTAATATTATTGCGCAAGCTGCGTTCGAGTTCAAACATATCCCGATGAAGGCCTGTTTAATATTAAATTACTTGAATGAAACTATATGGAGGAAATATAAAATATAAATAATAATTATGGTTGAACGGTCGTTAACATCCGACAGGTCAGAACAATATATTTATTGTGCGATTGTCATATTATTTTCCAAATGACGCTTTCAACAGTCTTAGAAGGTTTCATTTGTATAATTCTAATAGTCAACACATTTATCGTTAACGTTTCCTTGAAAAAGACAAACTCAAAAAAACTAAGTATATATTTAGATTAAAATGGGACTGTACATAGTCCAATATAAATATCAGTGATGAATTTTAAAAACATAAAATGGATGGTAAAAGCTCATAAAGGTCAGTGCTGGCGGGCGTTGACATCAGATTGCACTTGCCACTTCAGAAAATAAACAAGCTAAACTTAACATAGTCTGCAACAATTTTCAATCTTACCATTTTGGGGGTACTTGAAAGATTCCGTTTTTAGCTCACCTGAGCACAAAGTGCTCAAGGGTGAGCTTTTGTCATCACTCTGCGTCCGTCGTGCGTCTGTGCGTCGTGCGTCCTTCAAAAATGGCGTCAAACTTTTCAAACAACATCTCCTCCTAAACCACATGGCCAATTGCAACCAAACTTTACAGAAATTATCCTTAGGTGGACCCCTTTCAAATTGTTAAAAAATTTAAATTCCATTAAAAAGGCAACCAATAGAAAAAACTTAAAAAATCTTCTTTTAAAAAACCCCAAGAGCTAGAGCTAAGATGTTTAGCATGAAACATGTTCTAATAGGTGTCTACCAAGTTTGTTCAAATAAAAGCCCTGGGGTCAAAATTGGCCCCGCCCCGGGGGTCATTGACTTTCCTTATATGTGTATAGCAAAAACTTAAAAAATCTTCTATGAAAAAAAACCAAATAGCTGGTGTTTAGATATTAAGCATGAAACATCTTCTAGTGAGTGTCTACAAAGTTTGTTCAAATAAAAGACCTGGGGTCAAAATAGGCCCCGCCCCGGGGGTCATTGATTTTCCTTATATGTGTATAGCAAAAACTTAAAAATCTTCTTTGAAAAAACCAAAATAGCTAGAGTTTAGATATTAAGCATGAAACATCTTCTAGTGAGTGTCTACAAAGTTTGTTCAAATAAAAGCCCTGGGGTCAAAATTGGCCCCGTCTCAGGGGATCTTTGATTTTCCCTATATGCATAAAGTAAAAACTTAAAAAATCTTCTTTTAAAGAACTCAAAGAGCCAGAGCTAAGATATTTAGCATAAAACATGTTCTAATGGGTGTCTACCAAGTTGGTTCAAATAAAAGCCCTAGGGTCAAAATTGGCCCCGCCCCAGGGGGTCATTGATTTTCCCTATATGCATATAGTAAAAACTTAAAAAATCTTCTTTTAAAGAACTCAAAGAGCTAGAGCTAAGATATTTAGCATGAAACATGTTCTAATGGGTGTCTACTAAGTTTGTTCAAATAAAAGCCCTGGGGTCAAAATTGGCCCCGCCCCAGGGTGTCTTTGATTTTCCTTATATGTGTATAGCAAAAACTTAAAATATCTTCTTTGAATTGAAATTGAAAAAACCCAAAGAGCTGGAGTTTAGATATTAAGCATGAAACATCTTCTAGTGAGTGTCTACAAAAGTTGTTCAAATAAAAGACCTGGGGTCAAAATAGGCCCCGCCCCGGGGGTCATTGATTTTCCTTATATGTGTATAGCAAAAACTTAAAAATCTTCTTTGAAAAAACCAAAATAGCTAGAGTTTAGATATTAAGCATGAAACCATCTTCTAGTGAGTGTCTACAAAGTTTGTTCAAATAAAGCCCTGGGTCAAAATTGGCCCCGTCTCAGGGGATCTTTGATTTCCCTATATGCATAAAGTAAAAACTTAAAAAATCTTCTTTTAAAGAACTCAAAGAGCCAGAGCTAAGATATTTAGCATAAAACATGTTCTAATGGGTGTCTACCCCAAGTTGGTTCAAATAAAAGCCCTAGGGTCAAAATTGGCCCCGCCCCAGGGGGTCATTGATTTTCCCTATATGCATATAGTAAAAACTTAAAAAATCTTCTTTTAAAGAACTCAAAGAGCTAGAGCTAAGATATTTAGCATGAAACATGTTCTAATGGGTGTCTACTAAGTTTGTTCAAATAAAAGCCCTGGGGTCAAAATTGGCCCCGCCCCAGGGTGTCTTTGATTTTCCTTATATGTGTATAGCAAAAACTTAAAATATCTTCTTTGAATTGAAATTGAAAAAACCCAAAGAGCTGGAGTTTAGATATTAAGCATGAAACATCTTCTAGTGAGTGTTTATAAAGTTTGTTCAAATAAAAGCCCTGGGGTCAAAATTGGCCCCGCCCCAGGGGGTCTTTGATTTTCCCTATATGCATAAAGGAAAAACTTAAAAAATCTTCTTCTAAAGAACTCAAAGAGCTAGAGCTAAGATAGTTAGCATGAAACATGTTCTGATGGATGTCTACCAAGTTTGTTCAAATAAAAGCCCTGGGGTCAAAATTGGCCCCGCCCCGGGGTCATTGATTTTCCTTATAATGTATAGCAAAAACTTAAAAAATCTTTTTTGAAAAAAACCAAATAGCTGGAGTTAAGATATTAAGCATGAAACATCTTCTTGTGAGTGTCTACAAAGTTTGTTCAAATAAAAGCCTTGGGGTCAAAACTGGCCCAGCCCTTGGTGTCATTGATTTTCCTTATATGTGTATAGCAAAAACTTAAAAATCTTCTTTGAAAACCCCAAATAGCTAGAGTTTAGATATTAAGCATGAAACATCTTCTAGTTAGTATCTACAAAGTTTGTTCAAATAAAAGCCCTGGGGTCAAAACTGGCCCCGCTCCAGGGGTGTCATTGTTTTTAACTATATGTGTATAGTAAAAACTCAAAAAAAATCTTCTTTTAAAAAAGCCAATGAGCTAGAGCTTAGATGTTTATCATGAAACATCTTCTTATTGGTGTCTACCAAGTTTGTTCAAATAAAAGCCCCTGGATTAAAATTTGCCCTGATGGGGTGGGGGGGTAGATCATTGTTTTTCATTATATGTGTGTAGTAAAAACTTAACATTGTGAAACGTCTTCAAATGGGTGTCTTCCAAGTTTGTTCAAATAAAAGCCCTGGGGTTTAAACTGGCCCCGCTCCTGATGCCTTTATACAGGTGAGCGACCTCAGGGCCATCATGGCCCTCTTGTTCTCTGTTAGATACAAAACTGTTTTGGTTTAGTTGAAGTTGTATGGTTCTTACTCATACCTCATGCTAACAGAATATCAAGGGGTAACTCTCTATAACAGTTTATAACAGTTACTCGATACACTCGTTGACGATAGAAGGTGTTTCATTCTTTTTATCGCTTATAAGATATGCCTTAACTATTTTCAGACTTAGCACATCATTTTTTTGTCATATGACTTTTTTTTCAAAGGGGCTAAATATATCATTCATAGCTCGCAATTCTTTCATACAATGCCCGCAAACTATGATGTCTTCTAAAGCACATGAGTTGTCTTTTACGTGGTGGTGAAGTTGTTTGTTTAAAAACAGTTGCAAACTTCTGTCGGATACCTATGAGGCTATGAACTTAGTGAAAAATAATTTTTCTTCTGCGATCCTTTCATAATAACGAATTTTAGGTTTGTATCTCAAATACTTTTTTAAAGTGGCATTATGCTCATCTTCATTGTCAACTTAACTTTAATTGACTATGTATTTCAATACACTGGTCGTTATAATGGTTATTGACCAACACATGATATTTGAAAATGTTTAGGGTAAATGATAAATATACCTAAAAATAGAAAAATACTACGCCACTCTTTTTATAAATTGAAAGTTATTGATTTATTCCTATGGATAATAAATTTAAAGTTATTATGAGAAATTGTTAACTTATTTTGACTTTCTCCTGCTCAATCTATATGCACCCACGGATGTCACTTTAAGTAACGCTGTGGTACAAGTTTAAACATGGACAATAATAGTACAATTTATTATTAAAACAGAGGTTATAATTTCCTCGAATTGCACTATTCCTCAGAGGGATGTATCAACCTTTTGAGGCTCACTTTAATAAATAGAACACTAATACCACAAATACCTTAAATTAAAGAAAAACAACACACACAACTACACAAAAAAGGAAGGGTTGCTATCTTTAATTCTTTTAAAATTATGCTCCGGCCAATTTTTTTTTAATGAAAGGACGGTGATTGATTTCCTATCCAGGAAACAAAGTCACAAAAACAATTGTGAAACAGCTAGGTTTCTGAGCAATGCTTCAAACATTACATATATTGAACTTTTAGATTTTAAACTCGTCTAGAAAGTTCCAGCCCAGCATATGATCCAAAATCTCAAACGTTGTATAAAATGAGATTAACAAATCCTCTACCTACATTCCTGAGTAAAATACGTAATATAATGCAGTTTATTTTCCAAGAGAACAAAAGACATGCTGTTATTCAATGTGACTTTTTGGATATATTGCTTTTTGATCACTTCATTTAGTTGGTAGTTAGCAATATATTATGTTACATTGATTTTCATGGAAAATATACTGAAACACTAATATTTGCAACTTTTTCCTTTATTACTTAGGTCTTAATAGTTGTTGTTTTTTATCAATCTTTAAATTTTTAAATAGTTTAATTTCAATCTACAAAATTGTGTCTCCATTTGATACTCATCATAAATACACAAGATTTATTCTTTTATCCTAAAACTTTTGCTGTGGAAATGTTTATTTATAGTTTATTTATATCTTCCAAAAGTATAAAACTTTACTTGTAGTAAATAATAAAATTTTGGTTTGTGATAATCACGTAATTCCTTTTTTCTCAGGTATAACATATTTTATCAGTGCGAAAACAGGAACACGTCCGGGTGCTGGTACAGATGCTAATGTATACATCACTTTGTTCGGATCTGGAGGAAGTACAAAAAGAATAGACTTTGAGGGAAAATTTGAATCTGGTGATGTCGACGAAATAAGAACATATACCAAAGATATACGTCCCGTTCGTAATATTAAATAAAACATTTGTAAACTTATAGTAACAGTATGATTTATTTTCCCTTGAGGTGTTGTTAATTTGAATAATGAGTTATACGCAACTAATTGTTTACCCTTCTTATATTACCTGAATAAAATGAAATTGTTCGCCGTCCGTCCTTCTGTGAACTCCGTACATTCTACCGATTTCATCTGTATGTCAGAACCTATTTGGCAGATTTTTTGTATTTTTTATAAAACTACTTGCATGTGTTATCCTTTTAAAGGTAAACGATGCTCTTTTATTATCATTGTGAAATACAATTCGTTTTGAACATTGCATCTAATGGTTTTTGTTCTCCTACCGCTGATTCAGATATCATGTTAAATAAGTGTTCGGTTACTTGCGGATAAAATGGGTTGCTGTTTATCAATAAAACCGATAACCTGGACCAACCGCAGACATATGACCAAACAAATGTTTTAAAATCGCCGTTAAATCAGAAAAAAACATACATCTGAATTGTGTGCTTTTCTGTTTCGTATGTCTGCTTTATAGGATTCAATTATAAAATGTCATTTAACAATTGATGATAGATACTAATTTGATTGGTTATTAATTATAAAGATATAAGCATATAGTTAAAAACTGGTTTCAACACAGTGATCTATATCATTTCGAGGGGCAGATCAATTCAATTGATTTTTATCTTACATGTTCACAGACGAGTTTTCTTTTGTAATTTCAACAAAACTCATTATTAACATATTTTCCGTATTTTTGATAGATACATAAGGTACAGATCAGACATGATGGAGGAAGGTGGCTTGATGTGACATCTAGTTGGGACCTGGAATATATATCAATATATGTTGAAAATATGGAAGAATTTTATGTTTTTAGAAATAATCGGAAACAATGGGTGGAGAAAGACAATGATCTGACTTTGTCAAGCGAAGGTAAACCTAAACATTGACCTTGATAATGTTATAAATATTATGACATTCTGTAAGAAAGCCAATTTGTTATTCATGCTTTTAACGTCTTTAAATATCTACCACACATTCAACAATACCAATTCTGTTTAAATAAGTTTTAACTTTAACGTAATTGAAACTTTAAGGGTAAAGTATTTTAACGGGCAATGAGATATATTCAGTCAAATTAAGAAAAGAAAATGTATTTTATTTCAGGAAAGAAAACCTGCATCAGTTCGTTTGATACTGGACATGTGTGGTATCTTCACTGGCAAAAAGGTCATTATATACTATTTGGGCGTGGTGGAAAAATGTCGCTACGGACTTGTAAACAGTCATGTGTTAACTGGAAGGACAAAGCATCACAAAAACAATGTATATCAGTGTATTATGACCATTTTCATAGATCATGCTCCGGTTTCACCTTTGACGACCGCTTCTATCCTGTAAGCAATAAAAACTGGCATGGAAAAGTATATTTAAGAACATGTATAAATAATGACGCATTCTAAAGGAAACAAATAGATATATTTTGACCTGAGACTCTTTAAATAATTTAAAGAGCTAAGCGTGAAAGTACAAATTACAATATTATTATTATGTTGGTTTCATTTTGATTTTTATTGTGCCCAATAACAGTTCATTATCTTCGTTTTTTAATACTTATATTTGTTGTATGCCACATATATAAATCGTATCCTTACTAATTTTAAACACTTGAATATATAATTTGATATCAATCAGGTTTGTATTGTTTTCCTAAAGCAGTATAATTATCTCTTTTATCAAACTTTAAAACAGTATATTCTTTTTATCATACTTAAAAACAGTATATTTCTTTTATCATACTTTATAACGGATATTTCTTATATCATACTTTAAAACAGTATATTCTACTTTAAAACAGTATATTTCTTTAATCCTACTTTAAAACAGTATATTTCTTTAATCCTACTTTAAAACAGTATATTTCTTTAATATTCCTTTAAAACAGTATATTTCTTTAATCCTACTTTAAAACAGTATATTTCTTTAATCATACTTTTAAATAGTATATTTCTTTAATCGTACTTTAAAACAGTATATTTCTTTCATCATACTTTTCTACAGCTTTTTAATATGACCGTTGTTGTCAATAAACAATGTACTAGGTCGTATGAACATCAATGTTAGCCATTCTTTATTGAGCTTATATGAGCTCTTTATAAAGTAGCAAGTGCAATGTAGGCATTAACAATATAGCGTCAGACATATCAACGTCATAATACCAGGCATATATTAACATATATAATTATGTTTTGAAGATAATGCATTAAGTTTGTAAAATAAGCACATCTCGGGCAGTATATATTATTGACAAGTTTATTTTTTTTGGGAATAATATGTCTTATTTTACATCAACATTGACAATATAGGTCAGTTTATGTCTAAAAGGACACCTATAAGCAACATTTACACATACTTTACCGTACTGTTCACAGGCTGATATATAAGAATAGCTCTTTGTTTCCGAAAAAATATCTGATAGTCACAAAAATGGTATCAAAAGAAATAAAAGAAAGTTAACAAATTGGGATTTGAACCCACGGCATTCAGTTTAAATGCAGTTTACAGTAATTTGGGCAGATCTAAATTCTCTTTAAAGCATAGGGAATGTATAAGAAGGGTAGTATACTAGTACCTTTAATACGATTCAACAGCCGAATGCTTAAAGATCCTCTATATTGTAATTGAGGTTGTATACCACACTTTAGTGAAATTATATATATGTATGTAATTATGCTTTAGTTATAAAACAATTTTCATACATCGAAGAATATGTAAAATGTGTACTGCAAATATGTGTACATATTATATGTAATCATTAAAGTATATGCATTCATTTTTTATTGAAAAATTTGACTTAGACTTTATAAAAATATGTAAGGATTTCGTGTTATTAATATAGACGTTCATCAATTGGGGTCACGCAAGCCAAATATCTACCCCTTGGGTCTTTTCTTGAAAGTTTTACAGACGTTCAATCTGGTCCGTTCGAATAAAAAATGCTGCCGTTGTAGGCAGATATTTATTCTAAATGCTGCCGTCGATGGCAGAAATACCATGAAAGTGGCTAACATTCTGACAGAAAATCAAGGTCAATCTTTTATCAATTCCTCTATTCTTTGCGTCATTTTAGTCGGAATTGAGACGTTAAAACATCATGTCTAATATTTTTCAAGATAGAAAAGTTATTAGTGCATCGAAAAAGCTTTTTAGCGACACGCAGTTACAATAAAAAATGTGATGACTCAAGATTGCACTATAAATAGAGCAATTAACATGAAGAAGTTCATTTTTCTATATTCATGCATATGTGCTTGATCTGCTATAAACTTCAGATACATATGATATTGTATCCATGTAACTGACAGACACAACAGATCAAGCACACATGCATGAATGGCCGTATTTGTGTAATATAATAATACCAACCTAATTTTTAACCTACCTGTACCGAGCGGTAAATTTCAGCTATCTGCCATCACTGCAGTGATCTGCCATCACGAATAAGTACGACATCAATCTGGACATCTCTAGTTTTGTTCAAAGAAGTTGTTTTATAAAAACACATTCAGAATATTTTAATAAGATGTAGAGCCGTTATTACAGATTATTCAATCTTATTTTATTTATAATTCATTATTTTATTGGTCTTTTAAATATCAGATTTTTTTGTATTGGCCTCTTTGATATGGTCGCTATGACCGGACGGCATTTGAAGGAAGCAGAGATGTGGATGGATGTAGGGATTGGATGTAAGGAGAGGGGGCACACACTTTGAACTCGGTACACTACATCATTTAATTAATTACATTATCTCGAGAGCCTGGATAATGTTCTTGAAGTATACCCGTCAGGAGGCAGAGGCAGACAAAATTGGTGACAACATCTCAATATCGATTTTTGATCATCAAGGCCGGTCAGGGTTGGTTTGCAACAGCAAAGCATTTCCGCTATGACCTTAATAATGCTTCTGTGTCAATGCTTGTACTCAGTTGGTGCACAGAATATTGCACGAAGGAAATATGCGATTATTTAGTCCCTGTATCAAAATCTTTTAACTCGCCGTTACCTCAAGACCCGTTTGCAATAGGCGAAAAAGACTTGACACATGTTCTCTTTAAGTACTGATGAGTTTAGGTTTTGAAGACTTTACTGACAGACTATCGAGAGTCTGGAGTAGACCTCGGGAAAAGATTCACGCCTGAAATATTGCCGAGCATAACCGCTACGCCGAAGCAACCTGACAGCATCTAGAGTATTTAAGGATGATGGACAGTACAGTTTGTTCCCACAGACACTTTTGAGTGTGGAGCTTAAAAAACCTTTAAAATCCTAATAAAATGTATGATTGATTTTCGTTAGACCTGGTGGTAAAGGATAACCTACGAAAGTGCAAGCACTTATTTCCGGTATGGTCCTTACCTCAACAGACTCTAGAGACAGCTATGAGATACAAGGGAGTCCGGGAACCAGTCACTAGCTCTTATTGAATAGATCCCTTGTTTTTTTACATGCCCAGTGTAAAGCACTGATACATGCGATGATTACCTGGGTTTCATACCAGTAAACCTCTAGTTAGGTGGGAAACACTGAAAGTGTCTCTGAAAAATCCCAAGGGTTTTACCCAGGATCGAACCCGTAACCTCAGGAGTGACAGTCAGTGGTCTAACCAGCTGAGCTATTGATAATTCTTCACGGTGATGGTCAATTTTAAACTTCAACGTCAACATAAACAATACAACAGGCGAAATAAACATCGAGATTATCGCCGTTTTACTCCATTTACAAAATCTTTCGACAAAATCAAATGTGGCTCCCAGTTTTGCCGTATGCAAATGCGCGGCGCTTTGAAGATGAGAACCAGTCGGCTATATGCGGAGCCATTCGGTTATATGTTGGTTCCCATAATTCAAAGCGGGCGCATTTGTATACGGCAATTATATATTCTGTGTCGATGGACCAAAGATTATGTGAAAATATTGGATATGGAATGAAATACATGGTAATTATGACGGTATTTCCGGCGAACATTTTTATATTGTGTATTATTATAGACGTTGAAATATGAAATCCTTTTAAAACGGTTTATATTAAGTTTTTTGATATGTATGATCAGTACATGAGCTGGGATTGAAAAGTATACAATTTATTTGGATTTTAAAGGCGTTTTAAGCTCCACACCCCAAGTGTCTGTGTTTGTTCCCTATATGCCGGGGCTATATGGTAACATGCTTCAACTACTGTGTAACAGACAATACAAACATTATTTATGAGCCAAAAATGCCTCTTTTCATTCAATACCTCCTAAAATCATTCACTCGACAAACTCGTAAAATATGTGCACCAGCTTGAGGTATCAATCAATCCTGTATTTATATAACAAGTATAAGTACATAGTCAGAAAAACAAATTCATCAACGGACAAAAACGCATTTTTAATTCAACGTAGACGTGTATTGATCATTTGCAATGAAAATCAATAGTTTTAAGAAGTCTAAAACGAACAGGCGAAAGTTCTAACGAAACAGTACAAACTCGTATGTGGTTACGCCATTGTTCTCTGTATCGTTCTTTTAGCCACAAAAAAAGCTTAATAAATGGCCCAGCTACCAATTGTTCCTGTATCCATATCCACACATGTTTCCTCTCGTAAACTTTTACAGTCAGACCAGACGGACGGACAGATAACGGATAAGTGATCCTTATATATTGAAGCTACTCTGCAGCAGATGACACTAAACCACGCAAACAAATAATGATAAATATTTTCTACCAAAACATTCCGTTCGTATTTTATACGTTCCTTTTTCAAAATTTACCTTTATTCGTATTTATTTCATACATAAATATTTTTTGAAATTAAAATCAAATCTTCATTATGTTACGGAGCCTACTAGTGCTATATATCTTACAGCGCGTTTAAAAAAAAGAAAAAAATGAGTAAAATAAAGGCCCGTCTTCAAACACAGATATATGTACAATGTCTGTATTTATAAAGACGGACCTTTATTGTTCATTATATTGTGCAGTCTTGTCATGCTTTGCACGATCTGTTTCCCACTCAGTATTTTGCTATATATACTAGTATAACCACCGACTTTTGTATGCATTTGACGTCATATTGGTCACTATGACTTTGACAGACGAACTTCTTCTGTGGTAAAATTTCAGCTTGTTCAAGGTAAATTCATTTTTTCTGGTGGTTTAATTCGTAAGTGTGAGTCGCTCTCAAAATGTTATTACAGTCTTTAACTGATTAAATTTCACTCAATTTTTATATAAAAATATGATATAATATTTTACTACCCCTTCGTAATGTTAATTTCCCATAGGCCTCTGGGAGTTTATCTTACTGTTAATGCAAGTGTACCACGGGACTAAGAATTTTGTACTGTTACATAGGTAACAGTATTTTTTAACAGTATAAAATCTGGTCACGTGGTCTATTTTCTAAATAAAATGAAATAAAATGGCGGCCATTTTTCTCTCGATTCATTCTTATTTTCGACGATAGGGCCTAGGGCATCACCAAAGTAATTATGACTGTCTTAAAATTTAGTTCTTTGCACCCTAGAGTTCTTTTCGCGTATGAAATATCTTTTTGTTGAAAAGTCAAAAAGTAAACATCCATTTTCAACGGAAGTTATTGTAATATGAATAATTTTGTGTCAAACTTGAATATGCAGACGATTAAAGGATGCAAGAAAAAATTATCTGTAGGATATCATCGTTCTTCTCTAAATGCACTTTGTCAAAACCCATGCGAAGAATATTCTTGGTACAGAAGGATCAGATTTCACAGATCATAACCTTATAAATGTGTAAGTGTTTTATTTTCTAAATAAAAGAAAATCAGCATAAAAGAAAATCAGCTTCTCAATTAAAACATGCAAGGAAAGAACAGTTTAGTTATTGCTAGATCTACTCTTGGTTTATTTTTTGTTACCGTTAGATTTAGTTGACAATTTCAGATCATCACAGTATTTGTTCGGGGTAATAAAAAAATAAGACATGGGTTATTTATATAATGTCATTTTTCAGTTTGAATAACGACACCGCAATATTTTAAGATCAGCTAGTCACTCTATTTATAATCTACTGTTTAAGAGAAAATTGGGACTTCATGACCCTGCTTAAACAAAACGGTCAGACATAATATCGGTCTGAGCGGTGTTTATCGGCTATTTAACACCGGTTTGAAGTTTTGATTTGTAGGAATTGGCCACGAAGGCCGTGGGTCTGAGTGGTTAATTTTTTCGCATCAAAACGACAAAACCAGTGTTAAATAGCCAATAGACAACAAGATCAATCTTGTCTCGATTCTAACAAGATAAAATAAGAAAGATCATAAATGTTAATTTTCAAGTGGAGATTACTTCCGGTGCCGATTTTCGTATAACGCTCTACGATTTCGCACCTACTGTTGTTAAGTTATAGAAATTATTAAACAAAAGAAGTAATAAAAAAAGTTATTTTATCAAGATTTCAACAATAAAAACTTACGTCTTAGAATGGATTGTATTGTGTTTTAATACATCAGTGCCCAATTTATCATTTTTGTATGTTTGAAATGAGGTCAATCTAACGCGTTTATGAATGAGTTGTTTACTTTCGATGACGTCATTACGCTGCTTACAGATTGGCGCCGTTTTTAAAGATCCTGTATGCTGTGATCAAAGTGGGAAATCACACTAATTGAAATCAAATATATATATTATATACATAATTATGAAAATAAAACTATTTTCAAACATCGAATAGCATGTAAATATGTACTGCAAATATGTGTGCATAATATATGTAATCATTAAAATATATGCATTCATTTCTTATTGTAAAATTTGACTTAAACTTTATAGAAAATAAACATTTTATTACCTCCCTTTATTTACAGGAAATGTTAAAGATATACTATGCTCATCTTTGAGTAAAATATTTTAGTCAAAGAAATGTGTTAAAACATATGCAATCCTTTACTAAATATGTCTAATTTGATTATGAATTAACAACGTACTGGAAGCCACGTTCCCTATTACAGGACAAGTAGTTAGTATTTTCTTAAAAAACTGCCATTTTTTTAGCGACACTATTTATTCATATTGTGTCCACTTATAGTGTGTGTAGAGTTTTAAACATGTCATATCTACTTTGTGTGAAGTCAAAACATGTTTATTTTATATATATACAAAGAGACTGTGTAGCAATTACCAATAATTCCTGATATCAAATTTGAGCATAGTATATCTTTAAATTCGGTAATATTTTTATAAATAATGCTTTTTGGAACCTACAATATTGATTAATCTTAATTTGAGCATCATATTTATGATTTAAAATCATAAAAAAATTGTGTTACAGGATCTGTAACTAATATGGATCAAGTATGTGGTGTAAGTGTATGTGAGCTATTATTTCGGTATTGTATGAAAAGAAAACCATATGAGAAGTGAAAATATCAATACAAATGTTTTATTGATGCTTTAAAAGGCTTTATACACTATATAATTATATAAACGAGGGAGAAAACATTATTTCATTATCATTACAAGACAAGCATTTATGCAAAACACCAGAGGGCGTCCAAGCAAGAAATGAAGAAAGTTAAGATGAACTAGTACACATATGATGACAATATATTCTTATAAACTTTTCAATGGTTAATTGGTTTTTACTAGAATTGTATATCAATTATGAATGAGCGGACGAAAGACATTGTTCATTATGAACTTTTATAGACATGCTAGAGAATAGAATATTACTTTTTTCACAGGAACTTGAAATTTAATCAATATTAACGATAATATTCAAATTATACAGGTCAATGATATTCAAAATATACTCTACATATGGATTAATTATACTGTATAGGGGTATTTTTGGATATTTTCATTAATATTGGTGATTTGATAGAACTTCAAGTTCATGTGGTATTTTCTTAGGAACATACAAAATAGTAGTCAAAATTAATAGATCTTTTACCTTTTGGAAATAATAAAATACATATAATATTAAATTATAATTGTTATTTTTTAATGATCATAAATGCACATGTAATATCGTGATTATAAATAGCAACGGATATATACAATCATTTATAATCCATTTGTGTAACGCCTGATCAACACCACACTTGTGTATTGTCCCTTATTATGTTATCGCTATTAGCGAAGACCCCCTCTTTAGGTATTTGTTCACATTTAGTAAAAATATGACACTGGTTATATTACCATGTTGATCATGCTGAGCATAATTGTTGTATTATACAATAATTGTAATATCTATTTTAATATCTTTTACATATTTTGTGAATATTGTTTTCTTTTTCTTTTTTGTGTGTTTTATGATCTATTTTAATAATGAGTTTTACGTTGACTACTTTTTTCTTTATTAAAATTGTAAAATAAATTTTAAGAATTCAATTGTCATATTGACCTACGATTATAAGTAAAAAATTAACTGGAAAAATTCAGTAAATTATGGTTAATCTTTCAATATATTATATTGTGTATTCTTAAACCATGTACATGTACATTTGTATTTTTCTGTATCATTTTTAAATTATCAATCAATTGAATAATTCATAAAATCTAATTTGGAACTTATGACAATTTCTCAACATCTTTACTGAACACGAATAACAAATTAAATATAATGTTTCAAAGTTGATAATGTGATATAGATATCATAAAAATGTACCTTTTTACTCAATTATTGTACATATTTATTGTTTTTATCTCATATAAATAAAATGAAACATGCTATTGTTGTTGGTTTTTTTCCCGAAGTGTATGTTTATGTATAATAATAACAATGAGAGTTGATCTGTGTTTATAAATTATTGTGACCAAACTAAGTGACAACCATTCTTTTTTTTGGGATCTGTAAAGGCCTCAACAGACGGTAGGATTTTGAAGTACAACACCAATTAAAACTAAGATGTACAGACAAATCCTAATGTGTGAAGGCTACTATCAGTTGATTGCAATCCGGTCAACTCGTCCCCTGGTCAACTTGTTCCCTGGTCAACTCGACACCTTTTTGGTCAACTCGTCCCCTACTTTTGGTCAACTCGTCCCTAATATGGTCAACTCGTCCCCTACTTTCGATCTCTGTCTTTAAAATGTCTTTAAATAATTTTTTTATGTAAAATATGTAAAATTAATACTGATTTTGATTGATATCGAAATATTAATAAAATAATTACGTCTTTTTTACGTTAAATTTTAATGATCTTTATCTAAGCGCACGTGCATAGCTTTGATGTCAAAAGACAGGTAAGTTTACAAACATTCAATTAATGTTTAATTAATCGGAGTTTTAATGATAATTAAAACTAAAATTAGGTCCAACTCTTTGATTTTTACCCGCCTCCCTGAATGGATTAAAGACTGACGACAGATTAACAGAAATTAGAAGCGCTAAAAACTTTATGTCGGTGCGTATTGATCTCATTATAGAAGGATCGTGTCAATTAAAAACATGATAATTGTTTGTTGGGAAATTGTCAATATAAAAGTTTCCCTAATAAATATAAGATTTATTCTTAAAAACACATTTGCGTTGTACGTTATATGAACATTGGATTATTTTTTTTGTGCATATCAATCATTTCTTAGAATTCCATATTGTTGGATTATAGACTGCATGTGAACGGTGTATGTGACAATTTTAATTATTTGTGTTGTTGATTGTGACTTTTTTAATTGATTAGTGTCGTTAATTGTGACAATGTACCCCTGCATTGATTGTAGGAAACATGTGCGGAAAAACCAGCAAGCACTTCAGTGTGAGCGCTGTGAACACTGGCAACACAGAAGTTGTTATACAGGTTAGTCATTTGTGATGTTTATGTTCATTTTTAACAGACAAATGGTCTTGCAATTCCAAATGATCTTATATAGTGTATTGGAATAAAAAATGTCCAAGAATATTTAAAGAATTTATTAAGTTTTTTTTTTCTAAATTGCATTTTATTGTAATATTATGGTCCATTATTATCATAGGAGTTGTATATACATACATGCCTTTTGAAAGAGTTAGTATTTATTTATTTTTTTTCATTATTTTTTTTAAATAAAAAATCCGTACAATAATATTTGCAGTGGATATTAACTGATTGAAATCATGATTGAAAACATAAAAGTAATTACCAAGTATTCAATTGCCATCAAATAATTAGTAAAGATTAATATTCAATTTCCATAAATAAATTTTTAAACTGATCTCAAAGAGGAGCTGTATAAAACCGAGTTCCAGAATTTCTTGTATAATACAAGTCAACATATTGGATGTATTAATTGTATTTAATCAACATTTTCATATATTTGACCATACACCATCAAAACATTCGACATTTGGAAAATAAATTTTTATAACAACCTTTGGCACGATTTTCACGCGATTTGTATAATTTCAAATTAAAGACACGCGTTCTTTAAATATATAAAAACGTATCCAACCACAGAGGTATTCTACCTTTTGATAAAACTGCTGTTCGATGAGGCCCAGGTAGCGGTGAGGAACTCGGAATTGATAAGTGAAGGAAGACCCAAAGTTGTGTTATGTTCGAATCCCAAATTATTCTGAAAATGATTATGTCACAGTATTGAATTGTTCTCTAATTAGGGGAGGGGAGGTTACGTTTGTAGGCGGCCAGATAGCTTAGTCAGTAGAGCCACAGTACGGTATTCCGAGGGTCCCAGGTTTGAATCTCGGTCAGGCTTCACATTAAAAAAAATATATATAATTTTTTTTAAATGGAGGTGTTTCAATCATTACTCATGGCGAAAAACAGTATTGGGAGTAAAGTATGTAAAGGATCAATGTAAAGGGATCCTTTTTAGAGGAAACCTCCGATGATTCTTATAGTGTAGAATTACAATCTGAATGCAAGTGTTGTATAGCTTTGAAAATTGTACATCTTATCTCTAATTAGTGCTGTACAACTAAATCCTTCCGTCTGTTGAGGCCTTATCAAACACTTGAAAGACCGGATATTTAACGTGTGATACTATTCGCCGTTCTCTAGTAATCCCGGTCAAAATAGACCGGGAGATACCGGGAATTACCGAAAGGAGACCGGCGAATAGAGTTCGATATTGTACATGATAAACAAACATCCTCATACCAATCGGAATGATCGGCTATTATGACCGACTTAAAGGCCCAAGAAGTTGAAATTGCCCTTTTATTTATTCTATCAGGGGCATCGCGCTTCAGAGCGGAGAGACTGTTACTAAAAATATAGACTCGCGCGTGCAGCTAAAAATAGCAGATATATATATATATTCTATTTTAAGCTCGCACGGAAAATCCAAAATGTGATATAAATAACTACGGAGAGGAATTTCCTAAATTACGCTGGTTATACATGTCAAAAGTTATGAAATTTAAATTCATAAAAAAATACGATTTTCGTTTTAAAATAAAGGCAAAGAATAAATATTTTCTAACTGCATAGATGACATTGTTCATTAAAATAAACCGTAATCTAAGATACAGATAGTCAAATATGCACAAGAAATTTAAAATTAATGATTGTAACCAAAATCATTGAAACTCTTAAATATTTTTTTTTACTAAATAAAATATACAACAAAATACATTGATATTATAATCAGAACTTTTACTTTACTCTGTGATCATATGCATATGGTTGAAATTACAAATGGACGACACAATTACATCACAAGTTCAAGATGTTGACATATACAGATTTTGCCTCTTTTAACGTTATGTCGGTTGTAAGGTGCCTCTTCCAAACTGTCGAAATCTTCAGCCAGAACTGGTAAGATTTCCTGGACATAACGTTTGATACTTGAAAGTGCGTAAGTCTGGAAAAAAAAGTATTTTAGGTAATAAATTTCAGGCTAAAAATTAACAATTATAACTACAGATAAGAATCTTTTTATCTCACTAACCAGAACAATCCGTAAATGTTACTAAAAGTGACGGAGTTGTAAAAAAATCTTATCTCACATAGGCTTATCTCACACTCCACGTGCAACAATTCTTTTAGTATTCCTACACGTACGCGATATTTAATCTTATTTTAACAAAATGAAACTTTATAGGGGACCAATGTATTAAAATATAAGAGGTAACATGTTTGTCTAATAGATTAACCATGAAATTGAAATATATTAATAATAACTTTCACGCCAAAGCTCGTTCCCAATAGATTCTTTTATATCTAGCATAGGCATGGTGTCATATTAAATTGGGTAACATTATAATTATGATATTACAAATAGTATGATAAAATATTATATAATATTATAGTTAAAAGCATGCATGTTGAGTGTCGAGTCCTGTCCTGTATTACATAACATACTGTATATTACCTCAGCTAACGGCTCTCCAACCGGTGGATATTTCTCCATGATGACTGATTTGAGGTAATCCTAAAATTATAACAAATGCCTTCACAAAGCGAGAGTACGCTCTACGTTTTCTGCTTTTTAAAGCCAATAACATGCAAAATATTATAGTAAACAGTTTTCCTAAAAATCAATTTTATTTTTTCATTTTTTTCTTCTTTTGTTACGATTAAATTTCAAAGGTCAAGGTCATATCAAAATAATCCAACATGTCATTTTTATCACATGTGTTATTTTGCCCATTATTTTTAGCAAATTTCAATTATTTGACCTTAGCGGTCAATGTCAAATTAAGGTTAAGGTCATATTTGAATTGTTCGGCGTACGGGTTTTGGTATAATTGTTCAAATTAAAACTGTATTCAATTTTAGCAAAATTCACGAAATTGACATTTAATGTCTTTAATTTCTTGTCAAAAGGATTGTGCACAAGTTTGAAGACAAAACATTCATTAATTTCAAAGTTTAAGCCTAAAATGATAGCAAAGAACTCACAAATAACAATTATCAGACCAACTAGTCCATCCAGAGGATTATTGTATTCATGCATGAAGACAATTCATTAATAAATAACAAAGTTATGACCAATTATAATTTGTTGCAGAAAAAATCAAGCAAATTTCATATATTTGACCTTAAAGATCAAGGTAATTCTTCAGTTAATATCAGTCTGGTTTACTTGAATATTTTGTCCAAAACGTTGTTGTGTCCAAGTTCTAAGACGATTCAATTTTTAATTAAAAGAAAAAAATAATGTCCAGTGTTAAAAGTTTTGGACGCAAAGGAAACGAACGAACGATAAGACTGTAGCAATAGCTCAGAAGTTTTTCTTTCGAAAACTCGAAA